AGGGAGACCCTGTCTCAAAAAGACAAAAAAAATGTGACTTGGCTTGCAAACTCTGTAGTAAGTCCCAGTGACCCACTGACTGGAGACTGTGAACATAACTGATTCCTCATGAGTGAGGCCAGGTCCTTCTTGGTAGAATTGACCCTCAGTGGCTGGCGCATCATCCTTTCGATCAAAAACTTTAAATTCAGTGTCCATGAGTGCATTAGGGTAACTTGAGGATTCTTACTGGGGTGGCTCAGTCATTCTCTAAAATGATAAAATCTTCGAGAAGCTGGTCTGGGTAAAGGGTAGTGAGGAGCATCTGTTGGGTACATTGTAGTTTTTATTTATCAATTGTAGATAATGAGATGTACCTTTCTTTTCTGTCTTATAAAATGGTATAGCATTCCTAATAGATATTGAATACCATGTGGACATGTGAGAGTTAGTTAACAAGTGTAATAGAATGACCCCTGTAATCAAAGGCCAGGGAAGCAGATGGGGCTGTCTCTTGTATTCATGGTGGAAGGAAGGAGGTAATATATTCACAAAAGGTATATAAAGATCATTTGAAATGCATTAAGAAACTAGCTACTGATACTCCTATAGCTAAGTCTTATTGCTATGCAAACATTCCCTTCCCCCAATTCTGATATAAATATTTTCTTTATTTAAAATATTTTATTTATTTTTATTTTATGTGTACGAGTGTATTGCCTGCATGTATGTGGGTGTACCTGTGTCATGCGATACCGCGGAGGTCAGAAGAGGGTAACACCACGGAGGTCAGAAGAGGGCTTCAGATTCCCCTGGAACTGGAGTTAAGGACGGTTTGTAGCCATCATGTGGGTGCTGGGAATCAAACCCGGGTCCTCTGCAAGAGCAGTCAGTGTTCTTAACCACTGAGCCATCTCTCCAGCCCCGTAAATCTATTTTCTAAAGACTTAAGACAGGCTGTCTAAAGCCAGGAATGCACATATTTGTGTATTTACGACAAAGACTGTTAACTGTTGTTTTTAATGTCACAGGTTAGAAACTTAACTAAATCCAATTTCAGTCTATATTAGAGGTAGGCAAACTTCTTATTAAAAATAGATGGTTCATATTCTAGGTTCCTGTACGTCTGTGGGCCACATATGTGTCCCTGTTGCTCCTTCCTTCCCTCTCCCACTTTCCTTCTGTCCTTTTGCAACCCTAAAACTGTGTTTGCAGTGTGTAAGAATGACGGCCAGACTGTGACTCCCACCACTGCTAGTCGAGTTCTGCCCAAGCTTACTTTCCACTTCAGTAGAATTTCAGAGAACCTAAAACCCTAAATGGTGTATAGGGAGGAGGAACGAAAGTAGAATTGAGTCTTACTGGTCTGAATTTGAATCCTGATTCTTTCCTTCACTGCTTCTGTTACTTGTATAATTACTGGCTACTGGGATGTTCAGCTTCGTCCTAGGTAAAATGAGACCAGTACTGCCTGGAGGGGGGCAGTGGTTTGGCTCTAATGAAATGGTCTGTCAATAGTACTGTCCCCAGTGATTGTTGCATATAGAACCTCAAGCATTTTATTTCCTGTACTCTTGTTTGACATTTCCTAGACTCCCCACTTTCCTTTGAATTATTCTAGAACTGCAGATTATCTACGGAGAGTGTTCGATTTAGTGTAATGTGAGATAAATTTATTTGTCAACGTTTTGTTTTCTTGTGATAAGTTAACTTTGTTTCTTATATTTAGTCTCTACTCACCCCCCTATATCTCCAACAGTACCCCATACTGTGTATTTTCCAAAAATATTGGTATGTGCTTCTGGAAAGTTTTTCATGACAATTTTAGAGAACTGTTCCTCTTCAGTCCTCATAAAAGCTATAGAATTATATAAATATTCGGAACCGTAAGCTAAACCAGTTGCTAAAAGTCTAAAGTGGGGTGGATTTTAAAAGGTGCATATGAGGGTTAAGTTTGGGGTGGATTTTAAAAGGTATATATGAGGGTAAATGTTGGGGTGGAGATTTGCTCATTTTACTTTTGTTCAGTGACCTTTTGCAATTATTTGAATCCCTCCCGTAGCTGTTGAGACTATCCAGACCACTTCTGATGAGTTGGCTGATAGCTAGTGTTGCCTTACAGAATGCTTCCTTGTCTCTCTACCCCTTTAGGCTGCGACCATACATGCCTTGAATCACTTGCATCTGAAATATTCATTGGTTGAAGTCCGGTTAATGCGTCTTCTCTGCTCTACTGTTAACTTCTCTCCTTATATTAAATGTGAGCCCTGCACCCTTCACATTCTGAGCAGTGGAGCACACCCTTGTGGCCTGGGGCTCAGTGATGACTAAGGTTTCCCTCAGCTCCACAGATTTTGGCAGTTTTTTTTCCTGTCGTTAGTCTCCTGATCTCACTTTTCTTATTTATATAAGAAAGTGAAATTGTAAGTCTCTGTGCAGAGTGAGAGCCTAAGCTCTTATTGGCACACATCAGAGGCACATCCACTTTGACCACTGGCCCACACCGTCTCCTCGGTCTCATCCCAGCCTTCTGTTTCCTAGGAGCTGAGTTCAGACACTGTCCCGGTTGTAATTGTTGTGAATAAAGTCTTCCTTACTGGGTTAACTTGACTTTGAATATGATTGTGAATGCTAGAACTCTTCTACATGTTTATAGGACACTGGCTCTGTTTTACTATGAATTCCTATAGCCTCATTCAGCCTCAGTGTCCATATAAATAGAATGAACATTGTGACCTACCTCTAAGACTTCTTGGTGGCATCAGTCAAAGAACATCACACTCTGAGCACTACATGGACTCCTAAAGATTTAGGTCTTATTTTTTGAGCTAATGTATGTGAAAAGCTTCTCAATAGGTCTTTTATAAAATAATATATTGCTCTGGTATATTAAAATATGGTCTGTTTGCTGAATTATCAGTATGTACCCTTCATGTATCCACTTTGCTAAATGAAGTATATTTCATTATTGAAATAAAACATGCACAGGAGTGCATGAGACAGGGTGAAAGGAGGAGCCAATCACTCACCTGACCCTGAAGTATCTAGCTACTCAGGCATCTGTGGGAGATGGGGACAAATCAAAATACATGTTTTCAGACAGTCCAGCAAATTTATGTTTTTGAAAAAAAATGAAGAAAAGTTTATATTTTGAAGTTCCAAGTACCTTTTACATGAGCTATCCTAAAACCAAAAATTTAAGAAACTAATAGATAAATGACTGCTTTCTTCCAATAGATTTTATATTTTAAAATACAGGTTATAATATTTGTTGTCTTAACGCTACAGTTTGAAACGTTGCCTAGAGTCCTAAATTTTAAAGATGTATATGTGAAGCAGTACAGGTTAAAGTTGAAACTGTTTCTTCTTGTGAGGTAGGAGTGCATGGTGCCATGTATTTGAGACTTGCGGAACTATTTTCCATCTCCATGTCATAAAAATGTCACGTGAAAACAGTTCTCCATCTAGTGTGTGCTGGTGGATGCTATGTCCAAATCCCCACCCCCATTCCTTCTTTTTCCAAAACCAATCTGAGGAGAACTTCCTTGAATTACTGTCTTACAGCAGTTTCTGGTTCTGCTTGGAGACTGCCTGCAGTTCTGAGAGACTTCCGCAGATAACAATGAGAGGTGGATCACTCTAAGGCCCACAAACCCTTCCCTGATGCTCCATCCTCAAAACATGGGTTTTTGTCGCTGTGGTTTTGTTTTTGAGTCATTGCTTCCAACACTCCATAACTGTTCTAAGCTTCCTGCTAATAGAGACAATGATGCTTAAGCTTCCAATGTTTGCTCTCATTTGCCCTACTTAAGATATTCTTTGTTTCAGGAGAGGTTACAGAAAAGGCAGAGGCTCGTAATCTGTATGGATGAAAAAAGTATGTGGAGGTTCTGACATCTAGATGCCTACCTGGAGAGAAAGGAATTTAGGAGCAAAATTAAGAATCTGAACTAACTCAGAAATAAGATATGCCTATGATGAAGTGAGGGTTTAAGTTGGAAAGTTAGTTGTTCTGGCCCCTAGCTGTACATATTTCATCCTAAGGCACCATTTGGTTTAATGAAACATTGATCTGGGACTGCGTTCAACTTACAAGTTTCTTTTTTTAAATTTTTATTTCATTTATATTCATTCATATTTCTCTCTCTCTCATGTGTATGTGTGTGTGTGTGTGTGTGTGTGTGTGTGTGTGTGTGTGTGTGTATAGAGGGGTTTTCATCCCAGGTGCACATGTGGAGATTAGAAGAAAACTTGTGAGAGTTGGTTCTCTCCATTATGTGGGTCCTTGGTATTGAACTCAGGTCCTTAGGCTTGGCAGCAAGTGCCTTTACCCGCTGAGGCATTGTATTTTCGGAGGACAGAGCATTAGTCATTTGCCTGTTTGTCTCTTTCATGTTTATCTTGCAGACTATGGACTTTCTTACAGATATTGTCCCAATGGGAACCACAAACAGTATCAAGAAAATCCCAGGAAGGGCCATAATGGGACCTTAGAGTTTACCAGCTTGGATGCTCATAAAGGAGTCGGTAAGTCTTTATTTTTTCTGTTTCATGTTTTGTTTCAGAGGGATGGTTAGAGTCAAGAGTGATGAGGCCACTTGACATTTGCATAGGCAGTTTGAAGAGAGAGTGCTCTGGTGAGGATTTTGGGAGAAGCAGTGAATTCTGGCTATATCAATGACTATTATGGCCTGACAGTGGCTATGTGACTAGATTTAGGCTGTGCAAGTGAGAGAAGCTCAAAACTAGGTGTGCATTTGGCCCAGCAAACCTCTATGATTGTGAGGCTTGGATGTGGACCTGAGGTCAGTATCAGATTTGGGTAAAGTGCCGTGGGGGTTTTCATCCCAGGTGCACATGTGGAGGTTAGAAGAAAACTTGTGAGAGTTGGTTCTCTCCATCATGTGGGTCCTTGGTATTGAACTCAGGTCCTTAGGCTTGGCAGCAAGTGCCTTTACCTGCTGAGGCATTGTATTTTCAGAGGACAGAGCATTAGTCATTTGCCTGTTTGTCTCTTTCAGGTTTATCTTGCAGACTATGGACTTTCTTACAGATATTGTCCCAATGGGAACCACAAACAGTATCAAGAAAATCCCAGGAAGGGCCATAATGGGACCTTAGAGTTTACCAGCTTGGATGCTCATAAAGGAGTCGGTAAGTCTTTTTTTTTTTGTTTCATATTTTGTTTTAGAGGGATGGTTAGAGTCAAGAGTGTTGAGGCCACATGACATTTGCATAGTCAGTTTGAAGAGAGAGTGCTCTGGTGAGGATTTTGGGAGAAGCAGTGAATTCTGGCTATATCAATGACTATTATGGCCTGACAGTGGCTATGTGACTAGATTTAGGCTGTGCAAGTGAGAGAAGCTCAAAACTAGGTGTGCATTTGGCCCAGCAAACCTCTATGATTGTGAGGCTTGGATGTGGACCTGAGGTCAGTATCAGATTTGGGTAAAGTGCCGTGTGAAGAGTTATTATATTCTTTTTCAAACTTTGTTTATAAAAGTATTACCAAATTGGTAAAGCAAACAAATAATTTGAAACAGCTTTGAAATCAGGAGCACGTTTTCACTAAAAGGCAATTAAACATTTGCACTTGTTAATGGTTCTTGAACTGTTACCCTAAACTGATACTTTCTAATGAGTTTTAGTTGGTGCAAACAACTGTATATTATTGCCTTTTCTATTAAAAGGACCATTGGCCATGTAATACAGAGGGTTTTGATCATTTTCCAAAGCAATTAAAAGCCACAGTAGTTTAAGGTCAGCCGTGGAGGAAGTGGAACTACTGTGTTGGTTGTGCCCCTTCCTCTGTGGAAGAATTTTAGGTTATGTTTTTTGAAAGGGAAATTAGTTTTTATACCCTGGAACAAAAAAAAAGCAATCATTATGTCTTTGTCAACACAGTTTTCTTATGAAAGTAATGATCACTCAGAAATTTGGTGCTGTGTAATTTTTCACCATTTACCTTGTTAATGAATTAATCAACACGTATGGTAAAATGTGACATGGCTTTGGTTAAATTAGGAAGACTAAAAATCAGGTACTCATTGACAGTGGTTCTTGGTTTGTGTTGTTGTTGTTGTTGTTTTAATTATGTGTATATGTGACTGTGTGGATCTGGGCATGTGAGTGAAGGTGTCCGTGGACGGCCAGAGGTGTCTAATCCCCCAGGAGCTGCAGTTACAGGCAGTATAAGCATTGTTGACGTCATGGGTGGGACTTGAACTCTGGTCCTCTGGAAGAGCAGTGTATGCTCCTAGCCCCTGAGCTAGCTCTCCAGCCTGATGGTGGGTTTTTAACTTTAAGTTGCTTTGTTCTCAGTAAGTGAAGGAACTTTTTCCAGATTTCTTTTGTGAAATCTAATAGGATTTTCAGAGACCCCAAAGCACCGTTTGCCTCATACAATACCTGGAAATCCACCACACACATTCTGAAGCATTGATCTAGCTTTGTTACTGAGCTGCTAATAATGGTCAGTCTGGTTTGAAGTACTGAAGTTTGAAGACACAGCGGGCACCATGGGCGAAGCAGAGCTCTTGTATGCAGTTCTGGCCCAAGCCTGGGCAGCAGGATTTCTGAAAGTCCTCAGTAGCTAATTCTGCTGGTGTTTTCATTGTGCTGTCTTCGTGACATAGTTAAAATTTTATTCTCTACTCAAAGTCAACTTTTTCTCCCTTAAATCATAATATATATTGATAGCTGGGGAGATTTTACCATTCTAGGTGTATGGAGAGACACTGAACTGAGGGTGATCATAGAAAGATAATATTGCTTCCTGAAAGAAATATTCAGGAAGGAACCTAGATGAATATGTTGGAATTTGCAGGAAGTTTCGTGCTAGAGTGAGTATTCATTATAGCATAGATAGCCCAGCTTTCCTGGAGGATAGTAAATTCTTTTCTTGCATTTTATGTCTTATCTACTGTAAACCTGTAGACATACCTCTGTTTACATGTAAACATGTACATATATCCACATGCATATTTAGATATACATACATGTATTTGGCAAAATTTTAACATGAAGCTTTATTCAAGTATAAAAATGACAGATTTTTTTTTAATAACCTCAAATGTTAGAACACAGTTTATCCCTAGTATTTCCCATTGAATTTTCTAAAACAAAGCATTTCAGCTTAGGATTTTGTTATCAATGAAACAATCGTTTAGCCATGTTAGAAACTGGAATAAGCAGGGCCATAAGTTCTATAGGCAAATTAACAAAATCAGACTCATTTATAATTTTACTTTTGAAAGTATAGTCACTGGGTAGTTTAATATCAGAAAAATCTTTTCCTTTACCAGCCCAGGTATGAGATCAAATAAATACCAGGGAAAGAATGGAAAAGAA